TTTCCCCATTGAGAATGATATTCGCTGTAGGTTTTTAATAGATGGCTTTTATGATATTGAGGTATGTACTCTCTGTCCCTGCATTCTGAAGTGTTTTGATCAAGAAAGGATTCTGTACTTTGTCAAATGCTTTTTCTCCATCTATTGAGTGGATCATATGGTTCTTGTTCTTTCTTTTCTTAATGTATTATATCACGTTGATTGATTTGTGGATGTTGAACCAACCTTGCAGCCCAGGAATAAATCCCACTTGGTCATGGTGAATAATCCTTTTAATGTACTGTCAGATCCTATTGGCCAGGATTTTGGTGAGAATTTTTGCATCCATGGTCATCAGGGATATTGGTCTGTAATTCTCCTTTTTGATGGAGTCTTTGTCTGATTTTGGGAACAAGGTAATGGTGGCCTCATAAAACGAGTTTGGAAGTTTTCCTTCCATTTCTATTTTTTTTGGAACAGTTTCAGAAGAATAGGTATTAATTCTTCTTTAGATGTTTGGTAGAATTCCCCTGGGAAGCCGTCTGGCCCTGGGCTCTTGTTTGTTGGGGGACTTTTGATGACTGCTTCAATTTTCTTAGTGGTTATGGGTCTGTTCAGGTTTTCTATTTCTTCCTGGTTCAGTCTTGATACTTGATACATCTCTAGGTATGCATCCATTTCTTCCAGATTATCTAATTTGCTGGCATATAGTTGCTCATAATATGTTCTTACAATTGTTTGTATTTCTTTGGTGTTGGTTGTGATCTCTCCTCTTTCATTCATGATTTTATTTATTTGGGTCCTTTCTTTTTTCTTTTTGATAAATCTGGCCAGGGGTTTATCAATCTTGTTAATTCTTTCAAAGAAGCTGCTCCTAGTTTAGTTGATCTGTTCTACTGTTCTTTTGGTTTCTATTTCATTGATTTCTGCTCTGATCTTTATTATTTCTCTTCTCCTGCTGGGTTTAGGCTTTATTTGCTGTTTTTTTCTCCAGTTCCTTTAGGTGTAGGGTTAGGTTGTGTATTTGAGACCTTTCTTGTTTCTTGAGAAAGGCTTGGATTGCTATATACATTCCTCTTAGGATCGCCTTTGCTGCATCCCAAAGATCTTGAACAGTTGTGTTTTTATTTTTATTTGTTTCCATGAATTTTTTTTAATTCTTCTTTAATTTCCTGGTTGACCCATTCATTCTTTAGTAGGATGCTTTTTAGCCTCCTTGTATTTGACTTCATTCCGACTTTCCTCTTGTGATTGAGTTCTAGGTTCAAAGCATTGTGGTCTGAAAATATGCAGGGAATGATCCCAATCTTTTGGTTCCAGTTGAGACCTGATTTGTGACCGAGGATGTGATCTATTCTGGAGAATGTTCCATGGGCACTAGAGAGGAATGTGTATTCTGTTGCTTTGGGATGGAATATTCTGAATATATCTGTGAAGTCCATTTGGTCCAGTGTGTCATTTAAAGTCTTTATTTCCTTGTTGACCTTTTGCTTAGACAATCTGTCCATCTCAGTGAGGGGGTGTTAAAGTCCCTTAATATTATTGTATTGTTTTGATGTGTTTCTTTGCTGTTGTTATTAATTGGCTTATATTATCGGCTGCTCCCATTTTTGGGGCATAGATATTTACAATTGTTAGATCTTCTTGTTTGATAGACCCTTTACATAAGCTATGATGTCCTTCTTCATCTCTTATTATAGTCTTTGGTTTAAAATCGAATTTGTCTGATATAAGGATTGCCACCCAAGCTTTCTTTTGGTGTCCATTAGCAAGGTAAATGGTTTTCCACCCCCTCACTTTCAATCTGGAGGTGTCTTTGAGTCTAAAATGAGTCTATTACAGGCAGCATATTGATGGGTCTTCTTTTTTATCCAATTTGATACCCTCTGTGTTTTGATTGGGGCATTTAGCCCATTTACATTCAGGGTAACTACTGAAAGATATGAATTTAGTGCCGTTGTATTGCCTGTAAGGTCACTGTTACTGTATATTGTCTGTGTTCCTTTCTGGTCTATGTTACTTTTAGGCTCTTTCTTTTCTTAGGAGGACCCCTTTCAATATTTCTGGTAGGGCTGGTTTGGTGTTTGCACATTCTTTTAGTTGTTTTTTGTCCTGGAAGCTTTTTATCTCTCCTTCTATTTTCTATGACAGCCTGGTTGGATATAGTATTCTTGGCTGCATATTTTTCTCATTTAGTGCTCTGAAGATTTGATGCCAGTCTTTTCTGGCCTGCCAAGTCTCTGTGGATAGGTCTGCTGCCAATCTAATGTTTCTACCATTGTAGATTACAGACCTCTTGTCTCAAGCTGCTTTAAGGATTTTCTCTTTGTCTCTGAGACTCATTAGTTTTACTATTAGAGTTGGGGTGTTGACCTATTTTTATTGATTTTGAGGATCAGTCTCTGTGCCTCCTGGATTTTGATGCCTGTTTCCTTCCCCAAATTAGGGAAGTTCTCTGCTATAATTTGTTCCAATATACCTTCTGCCCCTCCCTCCCTTTCTTCTTCCTCTGGGATCCCAATTATTTTAATGTTGTTTCCTCTTATGGTATCTCTTATCTCTCAATTTCTGCCCTCCTGATCCAGTAGTTGTTTATCTCTCTTTTTCTCAGCTTCTTTATTCTCCATCATTTGGTCTTCTATATCACTAATTCTCTGTTCTGCCTCATTTACTCTATCAGTTAGAGCCTCCATTTTTGGTTACACCTCATTAATATCCATTTTGATTTCGACTTGGTTAGATTTTAGTTCTTTTATTTCTCCAGATAGGGTTTCTCTAATATCTTACATGCTTTTTTCAAGCCTAGCTAGTATCTTTATAATTGTCATTCTGAACTCTAGTTCTGACATTTACTAATGTCCGTATTTATTAGGTCCCTGGCAGTCGGTACTGCTCTTGATCTTTTTTTGAGGTGATTTTTTCCATCTTGTCATTTTGTCTAGAGGAGAATAGATAAATGAGAGCACAAAATGATAACAGGGTAACAACAACCCCAGAAAAATATACACTAAGCACATCGGAAGAGATCCAAAACTGGGGGGAATAGAAAGGGAAAGAAAGAAAGAAAAAAAAAGAATATGACCAAATATGATCAGGCTGGTGAATAGATAAGTGCCACACACTAGATTTTGGGCATATTTTGGTCTGTTAGTAGAAACTGCCTCCCAAAATTTTAAAGAAAGGTAAACTTATATATGTACAAAAATAAGGCTTAATATGATGAAGGGATGGAATATGACTGTAAAGATGAAAATTACAAAAGACTTAATAAAAGGAATTGATAAGATAAGAAGTTGGTTGAAAAAAACAAGAAGAGAAATTAAAAAAAAAAGGAAGAAAGAGAGTGTGTTCAGGCAGGAGACTAAAACAAAGCCATACACTAGAGATTTAGGGTATATTTTGGTTTGTTAGAAGAAACTGTATCCCAAAATTTTAAAGAGAGAACAACTTAGATATATACACAAAAAATAATGTTAAGTACAATGAAGTGATAGAATATGACTCTAAAAATGAAAAATAAAAAATATTTTTAGAAAGGGGATTGGTAAGATGTTGGTTGAAAAAGGGAAAAAGAAAAATTCAAAACAAAAGAAAAGGAAAAAAAGAAAATTAAAAAAATTAACTTTTGAAATACTAAAGAATCAGGGGGAAAAAAAGCCATGAATTCTATGTGCAGTATTCCCCTAGTGCTGGAGTTCTTCCATCCTCATTGATCAGTAAACTTGGTCTTGGCTGGCTGTTCTTGTTGATCTTCTGGGGGAGGGGCCTGTCGCAGTGGTTCCTAAACATCTTTGCTGGAGGCGGAATTGCCCCGCCCTTGCCAGTCCGGGATAAGTAATGTGCTCCTGTTTGTTCTCAGGAGCTTTTGTGCCCTGCAAGCTTTCTGTCCAGCTTTGGAGGAGGAGAGTGAAAATGGCGGCCTCCCAGTCTCCGCCCTGGAGGAGCTGAGAACTTGGGACCCCACTCCTCAGTGCGTCCCCAGAGAATAGTCAATCACTCCCATCTCCCTGGTCCCCGGCTGCATTCCGTGCTCACCCGGCCTGTGACCAAGCTTTTCTCTCTCTGGCGCACGACCCCGTGTGGAGTCTCTAAACCCAGCAGATCCCTGCGGTGCACTCCCGCACCGCTCCTCCACGGGGAGGAAGGGGAGTCTCCCCGGATCTGCCATTTGTTGAGTCCCTGCTGGAGGAGCAGTGGCCTGACTGTGCTGCAGATCACGGTTTATGGTAACCACGAGCTGATAGCCCACTCGGCTCCGTCTCTGCGGCGGGCTTCCCTGCTCCGATACCTGGGAGCTCTGCCACACTCAGGCACCCCCGGTCTTTCTATGACCACGAGGGTCCTAAGACCACACTGTCCCAGCGAGGGTTCCACCGCCCGCTTAGCCACTGGAGCGACGTCCCTCAGCGTAGCAGAGCCGAATTCCAAAAGTTCCAGTTTTGTGCTCGTCGGCTCTATCACTTGCCAGTAGCGGCTGACGGAGGCCCCCTCCTCCGCTGTCTATCTTCCCAAATATCACCTTGGATTCACTTCTCTGCATGTCCTACCTTCCAGAAGGTGGTCGCTTTTCTATTCAGAGAGTTGCTGCTATTCTTTTCTTCAATCTCCTGCTGAGTTCGTAGGTGTTCAGAATGGAAGTGGGCATATTTTGATCCCTATCTAGCTGAATTCCTGGGATCAGATGAAATCCAGGTCTCCTACTCCTCTGCCATCTTGCTCCTCCTCCCTCAGCCTCAGTTATTTTTGATAATGCTTCAGACAAAGTTCATGGTTGGCTCATCTCACATATGTGTCTTTCTAGAGTGAAATAACTTTACAGTTTCAGATAAAATAGAGCATACAGTCTTAAAATGGAAGTTCTTCATTATTTTATCATGATGCCTCTAACATTTTTTTAAAATCCTATTTGAAAGCTCATATCAAATTTCAGTTTTGTTTTCTTTTCCATAACAGGCACTTCATAATGTTGGTTACATCTGTTTAATCTATGCCCTATTTTTTTTTTGCTTCTGTCCCTTCAGCCTTTGCATGCAAGACTCCTTCCCTTTGACTGTCCAGTCCTGCATCATGCCAAAAGACTGTGAAACCAGTGAGTGGTCCTCCTGGAGCCCCTGCTCCAAGACGTGTCGTTCAGGGAGTCTCTCACCTGGATTTAGGAGCCGGAGCCGGAATGTGAAGCACGTTGCTATTGGGGGTGGAAAGGAATGCCCTGAACTTCTTGAGAAAGAGGCCTGCATTGTTGAAGATCTCTTGCAGCCATGCCCCAGGTATCGCATATTCTCTGGCATGAGTATTCAGTGTTCTATATAACCTCATTTTACGTGGGGTAGGGATATTAACATTAATAACAGTAGCTGTGACTCATAACTGTTGGGTCTTTCCTCAGTATTGAGATCCACACTAAGCAGTACAGCACAGTGGGTTAAAAGCATGGGCTGTGTTGATTACCCGGGCTCTAATCCTATTTCTGTGACTTTCTGAATTTGCAAATTTCTGCAAGTAACTTAAGTCTAGTGTCTTAGTTTACTCATCTACCAGCAGTACTCACTTCATCCAGCCCTTGGCACATGATAAATGCTCAATAACCATTAGTTATTGTTACCTGACATGTCACACCTAAATTTTATGACAACCTAAGAAGCTATTCATAGCATCTTCATTTTGCAAATGAGACCATTAATGCTTAGATGAAATAGTTTTTGAGGTTACATAGATAGTGGGTGGCAACATCTTGATTCTAATGCAGTTCTGTCTCTAAAGTTTCCTGCCACCCTATGGCATTGTTTCTAATACAGAGTCCCTAAAGAGCCAGAGGATGTTGGGAAAAGGCTTGACCTAGATTAGTAGCTATATTTTAATATTTTTATATTGGTTATATTTTGCCTGGCTGTATGTATAGCGTAGTATGTATGTATGTATAGTGAAGGCCTTCAGTGTATTTTTCTCTGGATTGTTGGCTCATGGTAGTCCTGGTCTGATAATGACAGAAGTCATTTGGGGCTAGCTAGCTATTCAGAAGTATTTTGGGAATAAATTTGTGGTAATTTCTGCTGGACAGCTGCCCTGAACTCTATCTGTTAAATATGTAGCCATTTTAGATAGACCTTTTCTATAGTTTCTTATAATTTGTAAGATTTGAGAATCACTTCCCCAGTGAAAAGTAAAATGAGGCAAAAAAATAGTGTCTTGTAGAAATGAATCAAACAATTAATCACATTCAACAGGCATTGTTGATTGGCTTAGCTATTCCTTACACCTGAAATAATGTGTATATGGGGTAGAGTAGGGGTGGAGGAATAAAGAGGTAATTTCCTGTTGTCAGAATCTTAGCCTCTCACTTCTTCAACTTCACCATTGAAATCAGCGTAGATTCAACTACTGATTGTTCGTTTTTTATCAAGATGACCCCTTAGATTCATATCACTTCATACCTCAAAAGCAGAGGAGGTAGGTGTAGTTAAAGGATCAGCTAAACTGATCCTTTACAGATTAGCTTTGTCCCACAGAATTCTTCCTAGTGGTGTTGAGGATGTGTCCATTCTTTAAAAGCACTGATATTGAGGGAAAGAATGAGATTGGAAATGACATAAAGCCTGAGATTTTTGTTCCTTTTGAGTTTGGAGAGACATGGATTCAAATCGCATCACCATCCTTTATTAATTGTGTGTTTGGGGGCAAGCTATACAACCTCTCTAAAGCATTTCCCTCTTCAATAAAATGTGTCTAATTATACTGCCTGTGTTGAGGATTGAATACATACAGACTAGATATGTAAAATGTCAGTCTCGGTGCTCAGCACATAGGCACTAGATGGCAGCCCTTGTTGTTGCTGTTTGCACGTGTGTTTATTTCCTCCAGAAGGAGAATCCCTCCTTTCCCTGGAAGGCATACTGTAGTAATTTAATGGGGGTAGGATATTATTTCTTCTGGGTAATGTGAAATCTTTTTCTCTATGGAGGCATACTCTAGAAGCGTTCTCAATATTAGGCTTCCAGAAATAGAATCTGGGTTTAACGATGAACTTGACATTGATCCCGTTTTTCTTCATTCCTTTCATGGAATGGCTAGTGACCTCTTCCAGATGTTGATGTATGGACATTGCTCCATTTTTTTCTTCTCTTTTCTTTGTTAAAAATTATTACAATTCTCTTGGGAGTCAGAGAAGTTCCTCTCTGATGATCAGAAGAAGGTTGAATTGCATCTACATATGTTAAATAATGACTACCTTTTATTGAGTACCTACTGTTAGCCAATAACTAAGTCAGAGATTTAACAAAGATTATTTAGAAAAACAATAAGTTTATCATCAAAATGGGGCACTTTTGTGGTAAAAGTAATGCAAATTGGTAGTGTTCAGATTCGAATTGAAGTCTCTTTGGCTTCAAAGTCAATATTCTTTCCATTGCTTTCATGATAGTGGTAGTAAAGACACATACGCAGATAAGGGTATATGTATATGCATAGTTGTGTGTTTATATGTATCATGTTTTCTAACAAAATAATGTGGAAAGGTAATAATTCAAGATGTGCCCGAGATGAATTTCTTTATTGATCTTCATTTGATTGAACCTTAACGTCTGAAAATAGGTCTGACAAATTTCACTGGCAATGAAACTGGCCCTCTAGTTCTGCTGTTTGGAACTGTTACTGAATTTGACATTTTTAAAAAAACAGTCTCAAATAGTGAATTTGTAGGAAATAGGAGTCCTTGAAAACTCACTGAATACCAACCAGGGTTTCCTAGGGAGAATGATGTGTTAGCGACTGATTCCAGGAGAATGCATAAATAACAACAGGATTAACATTGGCTGACATTCTTATTTGTCTGAAATCTGAGCTGTGGCCTCTACCATAGGAAAGCATAAAAACTGTGTAGTAACTTTTGTTTCTAGTGTGACATTGGTGATTAAAATTCATTGTGAACAAGGAAAATGGAAGCAAAAATCTATTAGGGAACAAAAATGCCCATTTCTCCTTTCCTAGAATTCAAGAGCAATTCCTATACATCAAGCAATCTAATTCACCATATTTCTCTGCAGCAGGAAAATGTACATTTCTGTGACTTTTCATAGTTTTTTTAAACTCTCTCAGAATACAGTTTGGCTTTTACCCTTCTACCATGTGTGCTATAAGAGACGTGTTCATCCATTCAATAAATGTAAATTGACCGTGCCAAGCACCATGTTTAATGTTTGTGATACCTCAGAGAACAAAATAGTCAAAATCCTCTCCCCCTCATGGGGCTTAAATTTTAGTGAAGGTATACCAAATAAATATAATAAATAAGCTATATACTGTATATATGAGCTGTGGGGAAAAAACAACAACAACAAAACATTACAGTAGGGTTGCTGGGATGCTGTGGTGTGGGGTCAGCTCAAGTTACAGACCTAAACAGGGTCATCACAGAAGCCTCATTTGAACAAGGAGGTTGTGGTGGGGGAACTTGAAAGAACTGAGGAAAGTAGCCTTTCAGATAACTAGGGGAAGAATATTCCAGGAAAAGGGAAGAGCTAGAAAATTACCCTAGGTCCTACATATTAATATTCCTCAGAAAGTTCTTTAGTTGCATAGCTTTAGGGCTGCTCTTCTTACCAGCTGGACTCCAGTGGTCAGCATTTTAGCTCTAAACACTATGAGGGCCAGTCCCTAAGGTGTGTTCCCATGAAAGGAATGGTCACCAAGAGGAACCCATTCTGGAAGTGCTCCCTGAGACCAGAACTCTTCGGAAGTTCCTTGGGGCAACTGCCTTAAGAAAACTTGAAAGGAGACAGAAGCTAGTCTATGTTATGCTACCATGGGAAATTAGAGAACTATAAAGAAGTTAGCAGAGTACAGCCTTATGTTTGTTTCAAGAGTGTGTTTTTAACCAAGACATGTATAGACTCCAGGAAACCCCTTCATTCCGCATTACAGTGTACTTGTAAATTTATGTCTCCTTCCAACATAACACTAAGCACTCACATTGTATATTATGAGGTGGGCATAGAAATGAGAGAGACAGGATGCATCTGCTTGTCACTTGCCACGTTTTCTCTTTATGTGTTTATCTCCTGTCATTAGGCATCATGGTCTTAGGCACTATGTTATTCTCTACCTCAAAACATTGAAAGATATGTGTTTTATAAACTACCTTGGTACTTGTGTCTTTTCTTATGTCCTGATTAGCATTTGAAGTATTAGATCCTACATCTCAACTCAGAGGATGGTGAAAAGCATTCTCAGATGATAAATAGTAAGGTGGCTCTGTTTACTAGATAGTATAAGGAAAACATTTTAAATGCTTAATGTCAGATAAGTGAGGCATGACCTGATGCTGGAACAGCTGTGGCTCCAGATCCCTTGTTTTGACTTAGAGAGTCCATTATGGCTGAAGACACTGTAACACACAAGAATATTGGAAAATGTCAACATCTTTCTTGGAAGTGAAACCTCAGATAACCCACCAGCAACTTCCACCACTTCACCAGGAAACAACAATTTTCACGCATAAATGGCTCTTCTGCCTCTTAAATTATCATTTAGAATTTGAAATCAAATATAAGACAGCAGTATTAAAAGGTGACAGTGACCAATGTAGATTAAAACTCCTAAGACGATCTGGAGGCAGAAGCTGTGTGGTTGATATAATTACATATCCTGTGTGATATAACTGCACAGAAAAGCCCATTTGTAAAACATGGTTTCAGTTCTTGGGTCTGGCACTGAATAGCTGGGCTCTAATAATCCATCCCCCCTTGTCTCTGGTATGTATGAATTTATCCTTATTATGATCTATCTGTGCAGACTCACACAGAGAATTGTATCTGGGTCTCCTGCAGCCTACTTTGATTTGTTTCTATAACAACCCCCTGTGGCCAGCCTGTTTGTCCCTAACATCTCTTTAAGGCACTAAACCCAATTTTAGATTTTCTCGATAAAATTCTTTTTCCTTGAGAAAACTCTGGGGATTTGTTGATGGATCTTTATAGATGATACTGAAGCCAGGGATAGAGCTAAGGAAAGGGATGGCAGGCAAAACTTGGCTTGGTTATTGGCCTCCTTTGGCCATTGGAACTGTGTAAGTGCTGGAACAGGGTTGGTGTGTTGTGAAGAGTTGTTTGTCCAACACCTGCTTCAGCCTGTCCCTGTGCTAACTGCTGGAGAATTCAGGAAACAGACAACTTTCAGTCTGTGTTCACTTAATTCATGCATCTTAAGAATCTTGTAAAAAGATCGTCTTTGAATTATGATGGAGTTCCCTCTCAAGAAATTGAAAAGTTTTTAA